CCCTAGGATGCCATTGGCCTTCTTGGCCACAAGGGCACATTGCTGGCTCATGGTCATCCTCTTATCCACCAGGACCCCCAGGTCCCTTTCCCCTTCACTACTTTCCAGCAGGTCAGTCCCCAACCTGTACTGGTACATGGGGTTGTTCTTCCCCAGATGCAAGACTCTACACTTGCCCTTGTTGAATTTCATCAAGTTTCTCCCCACCCTATCTCTCTCCCCACCCTAACTCTCCAACCTATCCAGGTCTCACTGAATGGCAACACAGCCTTCTGGTGTGTCAGCCACTCCTCCCAGTTTAGTGTCATCAGTGAACTTGCTGAGGGTACACTCAGTTCCCTCATCCAGGTCGTTGATGAAAATATTAAACAGCACTGGTCCCAGCACTGACCCCTGAGTTACTCCACGAGTCACAGACCTCCAGCTAGATTCTGCCCCACTGAACACAACTCTCTGCCTTCTTCCTTTCAACCTGTTCTTGATCCACCTCACTACCTGATCATGAAGCCCACACTTCCTTAGCTTATCTGTGAGAATGCTGTGGGAGACAGTATCAAACGCCTTATTGAAATCAAGAAAAAACACATCTACTGCTCTACCATCATCCATCCACCTAGTTACTTCCTCATAGAAGGTTATAAGGTTGGTCAAACATGACTTCCCCTTGGTAAAACCGTGTTGGCTGCTCTTAATAACCCCCTCATCCTCGATATGCCTAGAAATTGAGTCAAGAATAAGTTGTTCCATCACCTTTCCAGGGATGGAGGTAAGGCTGACCGGTCTATAATTACTCGGGTCATCCTTCTTGCCCTTCTTATAGACTGGTGTGACATTTGCCATCCTCCAATCCTCAGGCACCTCTCCCGTTTCCCACGACTTACCAATGATGGAGAGTGGCCCAGCAATGACCTCCGCCAGCTCCCTCAGCACCCGTGGGTGCATTCCATCCGGACCCATCGATTTATAGATGTCCAGATTGCTTAACTGATCCCTAACCCAATCCTCATCTACCAAAGCAAACTCCTCCTTTATCCTGACTCCTTTGGGGGCTACAGGAATCTGGGTCCCCCGGGGAGAGTCTGCAGGAGTAAAGACAGAGGCAAAGAAGGCATTCAGCACCTCTGCCTTCTTTAAATCCTCTGTCCACAGGGCACCCACCTCGTTCAGCAGTGGGCCTATACTGCCTCTTGTGTTAGTTTTATCCGCTGTGTATTTGAAGAAGCCCTTTCTATTGTCCTTAACCTGACTTGCAAGATTAAGTTCCAAAGAGGCCTTAGCTGTCCTAATTGCCTCCCTACATCCTCTAACAACTGTCCTATATTCCTCCCAAGTGGCCAGCCCCTCCTTCCATAACCCATAGATTCTCTTTTTCCGCATGAGTTTGCCCAGCAGTTCCTTGTTTAACCATGCTGGTCTCCTGGCTCCCCTACTTGACTTCCTACCCATTGGGACACTCTGATTCTGAGCTTGGAAGAAGTGGTCCTTGAATGCTGATCAACTGTCTTGAGCCCCTTTACTACCTAGTACCCTTTCCCACGAGACTTCCCTTAGCAATTGATTGAAGAGGCCAAAGTTGGCCCTTCGAAAATCCAGAACTGTGGCCTTGCTAGGTATTCTATTCCTCCCACACAGGATCCTAAACTCCACCATCTCATGGTCACTGCAGCCAAGGCTGCCACTGACCATCACCACTTCAACCAGATCCTCCTTGTTGGTGAGTACTAGATCCAGCAGCGCTCCTCTCCTAGTTGGTTTGTCTACCATTTGCATTAAGAAGTTATGATCAATGCACTGGAGGAACCTCCTAGACTGTAAATGATTGCTGTGCAAGTCTTCCAGCAAATATGGGGGTAGTTAAAATACTTGCCTTCTCTTGCCACCCTCTCCTTGCAACTCTTTACCATGCAGAAGACCTCAGATACAGTGTGGGGGGGGGGGGAATTCTTCACCTTCCACTAGCACCACCATCCCACCTCCCACCGCAGACATCTCTCCCCTCCAACAGCCCCTGTTGGAAAGCTTGTTCTGTCATGCCTGCCATTGGCTATGTCAGAAGTAAGAAGGGGAATGGAGCAAAGGGTGTTGCTACTGTGAGCATTAGGCAGAGAACAGAATCTGTTTCCTCTGTTTTACAGGGATGGAGAACTTCACATATACTCAGGGCTTCTCTCTACAACTGAGGAAGAACAGACACTTCCTTTCCACATGTTTGAGACCATTAGTAATTCCATGGATTTTTGTCATGCTGCCCGCTCTCTCAGTTGTCCTTTTTATCAGGTAAAAACTGCCAGCCTTCCACCTTCCTCCACAAGAACCCTCTCATGCTATCAACAATTTCTGCTCCCCAGATCTGAGACTCAACAGACTGTTGAGTACACATTTAAGTGAGGCTACTTTGATGAACTCTCCGCATAGTCTGTATATCTCCAACAAGTACTTAGCCGTGTCATTTCCAATAAGAAAGACACATCCTTATGCAATAAACACTGAAAGCCATGGAACACCTTGGCAACGTACCTGTCTGGCAACTCTGCCCTCAGTCTCAGCATAACACATCCTCTCTGGGATCTGTGGGAAACAGAAGATCAGCACAGACAGGAAGTCATTCCTACACACAGCCCATCATAAACACACTGCCTCTGCCTCATAAGCTTTGCCTTTTCTGTGCTTTAGAAAAGGGAGAACAGAAGAGGTATAGCCTTGTCCCAGGAATTCCATTCCCCATGCAGACCACCACTGCATATTGACAGTATACCCATCACTAAAAAGGATGCAGGTAAGCTGAGAAAGGGCTCTGCATGCAAGAGTTAAATAGCGAATAGATTAGATCTTATCATTTGAGATTTCCAGGAAAAGTATTATGTTGCTATGGAAACCTCAACATAACCTGGGTTTTCCCTCCTTTTGTTTGTTCATTTTCTACAAGCACTGGCCTCTCCCACTCTGTGTAGCTGGGCTTGCAAAAATGACTTTTTTTCCATGATGTCCACTTCTCTTGGCAAGCATGTTTTTCTGTACATCGCCTTGCACAATATCACTGTCACAACCTCTTGACCACTCTCACCTCTTCTTTTGCAATAAGTACTGTATAATCTGCCACGGATTTGGAAGCTCAGCTCCTGAACACTTCACTCTCTTTCTGCTTGGTGAAAAGAGAGAAAAGCCTCATGGCAATAAACTGAGCTTTTTTGGACTTCATTCAAGGGAAAAAAACCCCATACCTACAACCTCCCTTCTCACAGAGTCAGCAACATGCACCTCTAGCAACTGTGGTTTAGTACAGTGTAAGTTTAGTACAGTGTTAAGGACCTGTCTCACTCTAGGCATTGTAGGTGTTTACTCCCGAAGAGCAACAGCTCTACCCACAAGTTTTCCATGTAGCAAATGAGACCAAACCCAAGAAGCAACCCAAAACCCCTAGAAATTGACTTTATATTTGCAATAGTCACCCAGCCACATCAAAGCAAAGAACATAGCAAGAAACAAAGCAAGAATCATGTAGATTCTTCTGTGTTAGGTAGCCCAGGCCTCATCACGTACAACTTGAGGATGCCAGTTGAAAATCAAACAATACTACTACAAACTGGCAAAGAATTGTGTACAGGAAGGGGTACTGGAAAGGTAATTTCAGCTTACCTGTCACATTGTCTCTTTTAGATTGGCAGCACTATAGAGGCAAAGACTACCAGGGCTGTTACACAATGCATAGGACTGCAAGAGTCAAACCTGATTCTGGCCCATTACCATTACAGAAATGAAAGTGACACAAGGTGATAAAAACCAAGAGGAACAAACCTGACACAATTCCCAGCAAGTCATGCACAAATCCTGGTCTCTACCTTGCAAGACATAGTGCAGTTTTTCAGAACTGCTACTGGGTTTGTCACTCTGGAGTGACCCTACTGTTATTGAGCAATAGGCTGTAGAACAGCAAGAGAGCACCCAAACTTTTGGGTTGAAGACGTAGAAGTGTGTTGCAGTAGTGCTGATACATGCCTACTATTTGTTTTCTTGTATCCCCTGGTATCAAGAAAGTCCACCATTAACAATATTCTGCAAGCATTTTCATGGAAACATTAGCACTTTAAGTACCACAAATTAAGAGGGTCCATTGAATGCCACAAAAAAGAGATTAGCTAAGCATGAAATAGTATAGTTTCACCATGTCACTTGTAGTTATCTCCATTTTAAGAGGTCTCAAGAAACTGTTCCCTTTTTAGCATTGGGAAAAGGAAGCATTTTTCAGGCAACAAGAACGTGGATATTCTGCAAAAGTTTTCCTTGCTTTTATTTCTGGGCATCTCTGGCCATTCATTTTACTCTTATAACAATAAGAAGGATTAGCCTTAATGAGTTTCATGGAAACATCAAGAGAATCTTTCCAAAAGGAAAATGTCCCTCTCGATAGAAGACTTTGATGCACAGAAGCATTTATCTGCCAGATTCCTTCTGTTCTGCACCTCACAACCTCGTAATTTACACACACACATCACCTTAACATCAAAACACAGCTCCACGTGTACATGCCTTTCACACTTGTGCTTTGCCTCACCTAGAGTAATCACCTCCACAAACCACACGAAAGTGACTACCAAGTGCGGGCTTTATTATCTCCTTTCTCTGGACTAGCTCTTACTTCAGTAGCATAAATGGTTGCATCCTTAGATGGGAACATCTGTCAGTAAGCTCTGGAGACTCACCACCAGTTAAGGTGGCTTCAGTGCCTAAGCAAGCTTTTTTAAAGGTAAAAAAGGGCACTTCAAAACTGAGTCCCACTCTGTATAATGTAACATGATTTCATGGGTACTAGCAACCTCAAAACACTCTTCATATCCTTCAGTTGGAAGACGACACCAAGAAGGACACAGAAGGCTTTGCAGTTGTTTGGATAGTCTTCCCTCAAAATTGATCAGCAGTTGTCCAAAACCTTTATATTAAAAAAAAAAAAATACTAAAAAAAAAAAAAAAAAAAAACACCAAAAAAACACCTTTTCGTTTACCTGGTCCTGGCTAGTACTAGAATATATGAATGTCAAGCTTCAAAGTTGTTATTCTGGGGCTGCAGATTCAGCCAGTTTCCTATGGCTTCCTCAGCAAAGCCGCGACGGAAAGAAAACGTACGTTCACCATCACTACCTGTGCAAACAGCCCCACCAAGTGGCCAAACACAGCTAGATCTTCTCTTCCACATAACTGCAACCAAAGCAGAAACGTCTCACGAAGCTCTGTTAAAAAATACAGAATTTACTCATCTAACCCTACTCATTATGCCAAAGCCTAAAAGAAAGAGGGCTTCTGAGACAGTTTTGAAGATCTTCTTTCCAGCAAGACTGTGGACTAAAGGCAAAACAAGGAAATGGAAAAGAGGCTTCTTTCCTTCACAAGGAAGGAAGCAGCAAGGCATACAAGCAGGGAAAGACGTGTCACAAAAATCTCTTACAGTTTTTGCTCATGTTCACATACTGTGCTAAGCCATAATCTAAGTTGCCCACCCATTTCTCATCTTACACACTACTATCTTTTCTACTTGCAAAAATAACAAAGTTGGTTTAAATTCTTAAAAATACTGGAACAAAGCCCTGGCCTCCCTCTTGGGACAACTTATTCCTGTGGGCAGGTGACACCTACCTTCCTTTCAGTAGTTTTTGGCATAGAGTCTGCGCAAATACTCAAAGTCACAAACAATTGGAAGTTCAAGCTGTGCTGTCTATACATATATTCTGGATGTTCATGTCTTAGCTTGTAAGTGGAGGTACTTTCATCTCAGTGTCAATGTACATTCTCTCAGCAGTACAGCAGCTGCACAACCCTTCTGATAAACTCCATGCCCCTCCTCTACTCCACCCACTTCCCCTGCATCCATATTTTTTTACAATTCTAAGCTAAAACTGTTTACCCTAAAAAAAATGGAGTTTTGGGGATAGGCTATGGACAACCTGATGGACAAACCCCATCTTCTACTTCCTACTCCTGGAAAGGGACCTTCTGAGTGATACCCTGTATTCACACTGAACTTTTGGGTGATCTAAGCTACTGGCTGATCTATGCAGGTTCCCTAAAGAAAAGTTCTAGTAAGACCCAGACCTTGATAAATCAGAGCATAAAGAAAGTGCCTGGGCTCTGCTCTAAATTAACCTGAATTGGCATCAGAGTTACTGGGTTACTCTAGCATAGAAGCAGAGGTGTAAAGCCAAGTTTACAGGGTATTTATACAAAGATGGTGTAGGCATTAAATCTCTCACACAGGCTAGCATGCTGCTATCACAGCTACATCCTGCCCTGGTTTCCCAAAGATCACCAGAGGCAATACACATACGGCCTTCTACCCATGGAAGACACATATGGCCCAACAAAAGAGTTATAAACAAGACATATCCTAAACAACCCTGTCTTAGAGTAAAATATCTAACAATTATTAGCATCGGAGGGAAAGTGGTACTGCTTAAAAAGACATTCTGGATCATTATATAGCTACAATAATATTTTTGCTCTACAGAAGAAATAAGTAGCATATTGTCTACGTATGACTGTAACAGAACTAATTCTTCTGAAAAGGCCTGGCATCTTCAGGCTGACCCTGAGACAAGCATTTATAACTGGATCTACATGACAACTAAACAAAGAAAAGGTCTTGCTGGTACTAGCTACAGAAATTCAGAACCAGGACTTCCTGTATGCACTAGATGTTTAGAATACAGATACAGAAGAAAGCCACATGATTACACATGAATCACTGAATGTGGTGTGTTACTGATGCTGCATCACATCATCCAAATACTCTGATTGTTAATCTCCCCAAGAACAGACACTAGGACTACAGCAAGATGAAAGGTCAAAAGTGGAAGTACAGCCAGTGGTAAGGTTGATATCAGCCAGTGAAGGCTGATACAGAGGTTTGCCAGACTGAGTGAATAACCAAGATCAACTCATGAAACCACTGCAAAGATTCCTGCTTCCCTCGGAGCTTTTAGCTAGGGAAAAAAAAATAAACAAAAACCACCAAACCCCCAAAGAAAGACCATAAAAAAAAAAAAAAACTAAAACCTAGCAGGCAACTATCATAATTAAACATTTTTCAATTCAACAATATGCAAAATAGCACATTCCCTAACACTTACATTGCTTTCAACACTGGGGGGGGGGGGGGGAAAGGAGGCATGATGTTATTGTTCCTCACCCCAAGAAGTTTGTAGGGAACAACAGGCCTTTATGACCAAAAGAGAACAAGGTACCTTTTCCTCATCTGAATTCTGCTAGAAAAAGTAAGCGGCAAGAGTAGCAAGGTTAAAAATCAAATAAGCAGCATCAATACCATAAGAGAGTTAAGAACTTCACTGAAACTGCTACAACAAATTATTCTTGCCCTGGTGGCCAACCAAAATTAACTTAATGCCATATGCACTCAGAAAAGGGGAGACAGTTTACATATGTAACTAGACCAATACATTTATATTGAGCACTCTCACCTCAGTAGCTTGCTTACATGATTGGGAGCTAAAAATATTTTTCATATTACTCTTTAAACATAATATCTAGCTGCAAATACAGTCTGTATTTCTGTACTGCTAAAGACTTCACCTTGAATTAATCAGTGTGCTGGCTGTAAGATTTAGTCATGAAGACCACTGTTATCTTGGTTTCAGCCAGAACAGTAGTTGGCACAATGCTGAGTTTTGGATTTAGTCAGAGAACAATGTTGATAGCACACTGATGTTTTAGTTGTTGCTAAGTAGTGTGTACCCTCATCAAGGACTTCTCAGTTTCTTGTGCTCTGCCAGTGAGGACTGTTCTCATCTCAGCCCATGGGGTTTTACCTTTTTCCAGTTCTTCTCCCCATTCCACCAGAGAGATGAAGGAGCAGCTGTGCGGTAGTTGGTTGGTAGCTGGACACTTCTTGAGTTTTGGGTTCGTTTGAAACTCCTCGAAAAATATCATTTGACCCACATTCATCATTGTTGACAGATTATTGTTAGTAACTAAACAGATGAAACCAGCCCAAGCAATACAATGCAGATTTGCTACAAACTTTATGTACTTCAGTGTATTTAATATACTACATACAAAAATGAAAACAAAACCAAACAAACAAAAAAATCAAACCACATATTTAAACAGTGTTATACCAAGCTGTATAGCAGCTACTGCCATTCAATCATTCTCACAGGTAGACTATAGGGAAGGGTGTGATGGCTTTATTCTTCATTCAAAGTCTAGCCTGGCTATTCTCCTCTATCAGCTTCATGATAAATGTCCACCTGTAATTCAGTTATTTCACAACTATGTCTCAAAATAAAGGGTTTTGTTTGATTTGGGCCTTTGCAGAGGGCTCTGGTACAGAAGTACTACCAAAACACCTAAACAAGATTTTGAATGGCACTGCCCTCTTGAGGGAAATTGAGCTGTGTCACCTCAGCAAAGCCATCATCCCTTCACTCCTATTCAGGTCATACTTGCACTCCCCCACTGGCTTGCCATACGGTTCAAGATGAGAAGTTTTTGAAAAGCAGCAGTAGACTCACACCTAGGAAATCAATTATCTCTAGATAAAATTTAGGTTTTGTTAGCTTTTATTTATAGGTATTTTAGGTACAAACCAATAGGCCACTCTGAAGGCACAGAATCTATCTGAAACACATAAACCTGTCCCCAGAAATCAGAAATTTCATTTCTTCGTGAATTGTGGCCTTTTATTTTACCCAACAGACTGTGTTGCAAAAATGAGAGCAGGAATCAGAATCCAGCATTTTCTTTATTCTGCAAGTTCCTAATCACCGACCTCACAAGCATAATCTCTAGCCTAAGAATTTTTACATGCATTTTCCTGAGGCAAAAAAGTTTATCCTGTCGAAGTCATCTGTTGGTTGGAGTAATCCCTTGCAGTAACTACTTGAAGTTTTTGGAAATCCCTTTCCCAAAAAGCTGCTGTAATGACCAGGCTGTGGAGCACAGCCTCCAACAAGTCTTTATGAAAGAGCAGATACTACTACTATATCTATAGAATACCAAGTCACATGATTTTACTTTAAATCTTTATGCATCACCAAAAAAAGTCACAATCCCAAAATTCTCAGAGAAATTAAAAGAAAGTATCTTGTCAAGCTGGGATATAGGCTAGGCTGACATGAGAAGCAGGGGTATCTCAAGAAAGCTCAAGGAAAATTCTTTACAACCCTTGCCATCTGTATTGAAGAATTCTGTAGTATTGCAAGTCTGGAAATACCTGAAAATTATCACACCATTTTAAACAGACATCAAACTCATTAGCAAGTACTGCCAATGAGAAGCAACATCTTCCCATAGATAATATCTGTATCATGCTAGAATCCATGCTATGGCAAAGGGAATGAAGTACACTGCACATGAAGAACATAATGCTTTAACACAGCACAAAAGGAGACATTCATTAAAAACAAACAAACAAACAAACACCACAAATTACTCTATGTGTGGTTTAGAGTATGGAATCCATAAAGAACTTTTCTGTGCCTTGCATGTACTTAACATCTTTAGCTCTTGGAAAAATCACCTGCCTTAGCAGATGGACTTTGACTGATCTCTACACTAGATGCTGCTGCACAACACTGCAAGACTGTTGGGATAACAGAACTCACTGAAAAACATGAAGTTATGATACACACACCCCATCATTACACAAACTATATTTGGTGGAAATGGAGAATCTGTATGAGAAGCTTTGTACTTGGTTAAGACTTTTAGATTAACACAGACTTTCACTGAAATGTCTCACATGCTTCAATGTAAGAAAAATCTTCAAAGCAAGACCTTAGTAGTTTGTGATGCCTCAGTAAAAGCTTTAGAAGCATTGATCACCTGCTGGCCCTAACTGACTTGCTAGCACCTCTAGCTAATAAGAGAAGTTGAAGAATAAAACCAGAAAGATATTCTCTATACAGGCTTGAATCATCCAGCCTTCGCTATTAAAAACAACAACAACAACAACAAAAAAAACAACAACAACAACCCCTTCTAGTAGTACACATTCCTACAAATGTCCAAACCAAAGTTTTCAATTGGAACGTTATGCAAAGTCAGTTGGGAGAGAGTGGAGAGGGAGAAAAGACATAAGAGAGAGGGTTAAATATCCTTATATCAACT